GGGGGGGGGGGGGGGGGGGGGGGGGGGGGGGGGGGGGGGGGGGGGGGGGGGGGGGGGGGGGCAACGCCTAGGGGCTCATAATTATAGAACACTTTATTTTAGTTCAAAATTGTAAGTATAGAGAACAATTATTCTTGGTTTGCTCATAATTATAGGAATAAGTGTTAATAACTATTTTACTTTTTATTTTCTGTTTTTGAATAATAATTTTTAAAAATTGGTTTTGATTTTGAAATTTGGCTTACAATTCAAATGTGTTTTTAAGGGAGGTGAAAAAGAAGAAAACAAGAATAATTTTCACGCACAGAGAACAAAAAAAACAAAACAAAGTGGTTATCAAATCAAGTCTAAAGAATCAAAACAGGACTTAAGTTCTTTTAGCTGCCAAATTTGAGATGATTCAATACTATTGTATATGCTTTAATCAGACTAACGAGGATAAAGTAAACAAAAGTATTGACTTCAACAATGATCTAACATACCTACCACTTCTATGAACTTGGTTAACATATATGTTCTAGAGTAAAGTTGATCTTTTTTATTGGAATACTTGGACAGCAGAGATAGACTTTTATAGTCTTAACTAAGGCCAAGCCTAAATCATGAATGTTATCAAACTAAAGTATCATAAATATTGTGGAAACGTTTTTCTTAGTCATATACCAGTTGGCCTTTAGTGCACCCTTTCTTAACTATAAATGAAGGAATTAGAGCTGAATATATATTGGGTTGTTTTCAATTATAGATTTCTACTTTAAAAACAAAAGTTTGAAATCTATGAATAACATGTTTGCCTAATGCCTTTCTGGTTTTCCCTATACTTCGTTCTTATAATTGGTATCTTTCTGAAGTCCTTTTGAAATATTTATTTTCGGCTTATGAATGAAGTTCCTTCTCTCATAGATTTCCTCCTTGACTCATAACATGAGCAAAAAGTTGATGATCAATCTTAAGGTTCAAACAATAAACAATGCGTAGAGGAGCCTAAATGAATTTATTACCTGTGTGACTCTATTACCTCTACTAACTAGAATGAATTTACTTTTCACGTTTTATTTGCATTTCATAAACTCTTCTTAAATCAAACGGTCGTCTAGAGAAACGTCGATGAGGCCGTTGAAAAACTCAAAGCTGAAGGACTTGAAGTGTTGGGGATTATTTGTCATGTATCAAATGCACAGCAAAGGAAGAATCTGGTGGAAAAGACTATCCAGGTAAGATTAATTCAATGCTTGCTTTCTAAGTTCTCCTGAATCTAGTGAAAACTGAAAGTGGTTATAATAGATGATTATTTTACATTATGTTCAAAATCATTATGTTATTTAAAGATTCAAGCTTAATGTGCGTATGTTTTTGTCTCTGAAGATAAACAAATTCCATACTCATCAACTGAAAAACGTAGCCAGGTTTTCTCTATCTTTTATTATATTTTTGTGGATAATTAAGGAAGAAATCACATCATGCTCAGAGCCCAATGATATACTTCTGCTACAGTATATCCAACTCGCTGCTTTCAGCAGATATAGATGGTGTATCATATATGTTATAGTGCATGCTGATCAGATTGCATTTACAACAATTACCTATATGAGATCCCACGTCGGTTGGAGAGGAAAACGAAACATTCTTTATAATGGTGTGGAAACTCCTCTCTACCAGACAAGTTTTAAAAACCTTGAGGGGAGAAATTCAAAGAGGACAATATCTGCTAGCAGTGGGCTCGGGTCGTTACAAAATAGTACTAGAGCCAGACACCGGGCGATGTGTTAGCGAGGAGGCTGAGCCCCAAAGGTGGGTGGACACGAGGCGATATGCCAGCAAGGACGCTGGGCATCCAAGGGGGTGGATTGGGGGGTCCCACATCGATTGGAGAAGGGAACGAGTGTCAGTGAGGACGCTGGACCCTGAAGGAGGGTGAATTGTGAGATCTCAGATCGGTTGGGGAGGAGAACGAAACATTTTTTATAAGGGTGTAGAAACCTCCCCCAAACGCGTTTTAAAAACCTGGGGAGAAAAACCCAACGAAGACAATATCTACTAGCGGTGGGCTTAAGTCGTTACTTGTACATATTCTTTCTGTTTTATCTTTTTCCATTGCATATTTCAGTAATTAGTTTGAGGTTAATTAAATTTCGTTGGTTTGCTTACAGAAATATGGAAAAATAGACGTAGTTGTATCGAATGCAGCTGTCAATCCATCAGTCGATTCAATTTTGCGAACTCAAGAAGCTGTTCTTGACAAGCTGTGGGACATAAATGTTAAAGCTTCAGTCCTCCTTCTGCAGGTATTATTCTGAGGCACAGTTTTTCCAAATCTTGTCATGATTCAGGGCTTTTTGGAATTAAGAATATTTTGATTTGAGATGGTATTCGATTTTGATTGTTTTTGAGATGGTAGATATTGTCCTCTTTCGGCTTTCCCTTTCGGGCTTCTCCTCAAGGTTTTAAAACGCATTTGCTAGGGAGAGGTTTCAACACCCTTATAAAGAATATTTCGTTTTCCTCCCCAACCCATGTTGGATCTCACACTACTTGTGCATATCTCAATAATTTCATACATTTCTGCTACAGGATGTAGCTCCTCACTTGCAGAAAGGCTCTTCAGTTGTTCTAATTTCCTCCATTGAAGGGTTCCAGCCTTCTGCCTTATTGGCCATGTATGGGGTGACAAAAACAGCTCTTCTTGGACTGACTAAGGTTAAACAATGGCTTAACTTTTGAATAATTTATTTATTTTTATGCTTGTATTCTTCTTGATTGAGATTTCCTTCAGGCTCTTGCAGCAGAGATGGCCCCCAACACTCGTGTAAACTGTGTCGCACCCGGTTTCGTGCCAACACACTTTGCTGATTTCCTTGTGTCTAATGAGGCCATTGTGAGTAACTGTTTCAATGGATTGGCTTATTTAGATTTTGCAGTTCTCAAAATTTGTTACTTACTACAATTGTATTTGATTTGAACCAAATGCAGAAGAAGGAGGTTGAGTTAAAGACATTACTCAATCGGCTCGGTACGACGGAGGACATGGCTGCTGCCACCGCCTTCCTGGCATCGGATGATGCTTCGTACATTACAGGTGAAACTCTGGTGGTGGCGGGGGGGATGCCTTCCAGACTCTAGCTCCTTTCCTTTCTATATCCTCTGGTTTTTGTTGTCAGAAATAAATATCAATAAGCTCTTATGCCTTTATCCCTTCACTGGTTATTCAGAAATACATTTTGAAGTTACATAAAACATTGTTTACGCTATCTATTAGAGAGAGGAATAAAACATAGTTTATAAAGATGTGGATAGAAAAATACAATATTTGTTAGTGGTGGGCTTAGACTCTTACACTATTTATAAATTTTTGAATTTTTGAAGATTATTAATTTTATATAATTAGTTTTACAATAACATATCCATATTTTAATTTAATAGAAGGTAATGCTACACTTTTTAAATAATTTTAGTCTTTTCTTGAGTGTAATTTTGCTTTTTAAATTTTCATAACACAATTCAAATTATGTCCTAAAATATCTATATACTCCTTTTATTAATATTTGATAATATAATTAATAAATGTATTATTTTATTTCATTAATGGATGATATGAAACCTTTAAATAAATATTAAAGTCTAACTCAACTAAAATATTAGGGTTAAAAAAAATTAAATAATAATAATAAAAAAATCTCTCTCAAGGCTTTAGAAAAATACACTCAAAAGGAATCTACACTTAAGTTGGACATCAATGAAATATTTAAGGAGATTAGGGTTGAATTTGTATGAAGCCCAAATGTTTGAATATGAAGGCATCCATTAATGATTACAACCAAGCAAATTCTATAAATATAAAGCATTTTTTATATCTTTATTCAATTTGTAAATATTTAATATGCCACCTAAAATAATCCATTTTTATCCCTTTTCTTTTATCATATTTTCTTTTAATATTTAACGTATAATTAAATATGGAAATGATAAAATTATAATTAAGTTTTTGGATCTTTTTTTTAATAAAAATATGAGGATATGAAGATTTTAACGTGGCAAGATATATGGTATTATTATAATACCTTACCAAGTGGAACCTCGTTTAAGATACCTGTTATGTTTTGAGACTTCGAATCTCCATCCATGACTAGAAAGACGAGACGAAAGTAAATAAAATAAAATATAAAAATATAGTAAAATTTAAATCAAATTTTAATAATTAAAGCTACCATTAAAAGCAAATCCAAATCTAATTACAAACCAATATTGTTTCGAGTTTATTACCAATGGGTAATGGATTTGGGATACATTACAAACAAAGTATAAAAGACCCAAAATACAAAGACGGACTGACACTCTGATATGACTCCTTTTGTGACCATGTAGCTCTCAAACGCTTCCATACTTGACAGGTAGCCTATGAATACCTAAAAAAATGGTGAAAGAGGTGAGTATAAAAATATTGAGTAAACAACCTACTTGTACGCTCTCATTGCATGCTTATTCTAGTAAGTTACCATGAGTTTTTTCTCTAGGCTCTAGAAATTTGGATCTAATTCTACACCTATCTAAGTTTCTAGGGAGACCTCAAAGTTTCAAGCATTTCTCATACATGTCATACATTTCTCAAGCATTTCTCGTTCATCGGGCTCTAGCACTGCGAATCTTTTGAACGGCAGATCTCATCTTATGGTGAAGCAACTTATTTGTTCTCATACTTAGTAAGTTTGCATAGCCACAATAGTGAATGACTGGTATCTTGGGTTGAGGTACTACCTCATCAAATTTGTTAAGACAATATGATATCTAGCTTGTTTGCAATCCATCCACAGGGTTATAGTGTAAGGCACTCGACTTTGGCTGACTCGATAGTGTAAAAAGACGATTTTTTTTTTTTTTTTTTTTTTTTTTTTTTTTTTTTTTTTTTTTTTTGCGAAATAAGAACAAAGAGAATTTNAAACATTATGTATAACATATTTACATTTTTTCAAAATAGAGTTCATACATAAGTAGTTATAACACCAAATAAGAAACGAACACAAAATATTTAAAACAAGAGGGGTTGAGGATGACGGTTGAGGCTTGCCTATGGCATCTGCTCCAAAGTTCGTTCCCGACCTTGACTCGTTTCTTATTTACCTGAAAAACATGGAAAAATGGAGTAAGTACAAAGACTCAATAAGTAGTCTACTTGAAGGCTCTTAATTGTGTCTATGATATGCTAGAGTACCACACTCTTTGTTGACTTGTTCTAGTAGCAAGTACTTAGACCCCCTTAGTTTTGTTCTTAACTTGGGAGTCCTTATCATGATTTATTCGAGGTCTCAATCTTGATTCCAATCTAAGGGCCTTAGTAGTATGGTTCTGGGTTCTTGTCTTCAGAACTTGGATCTTGATCCATGTTCTAGTCCTTGATCGTTGTTTCATGCTTAGTTACTTTCTATGTTCTGGTTCTATTCTTGTTACGTTCTCCAAGACACTCCCCCTAGGATTTATGTAATGGATTGGATAAAAAAAAAGAAAAAAAAAAAAAAAAAAAAAAAAAGAAAAAGGAAACCCGTATAAAGAAACAATAAGAGTTTAACCACTTAACCCAAGGTGATTGTACGGTGGATCAGTATGATCAGGAATTCATGAGATTAAGAAGGTTTGCACCATCATTAGCTGACACTGAAGAGAAACAAACGAAAAAATTTGTGTTGGGATTGAACCCAAAGACCCGCCGCATGTTGGAGGCTTTTAACCCAAAAACCTATGAAGAGGCCCTAAGGACGGCCAAGGCCCTAGAGGAACCCCCGGAGGAAAAAAAATGGAGCCAACGGTTGTCACAGGGAGGAAACACCCTGTTGAGGTCGAAACCACATAATTCGAACCACCGCTCCAAAGACCTCGATATCAGAATAAGCCACCTACTCCACCCCCAATAGCCCAATACCTAACATTGGAGAAGCCACTCTGCCGTGACTGTGGAAAACAACATGTTGGGAGTGTTGGGTTTTATGTTCTAAAACTCATAGTTTGTAAACAAAAACATATTCTATTTTCAATAAAGTTATTATTGTTGTTTATTCTGTAAAGATTGTTATTGAATAAAGTGAATTTTACGATCATTAATCTAAATCCAATAAACTAAGAACACTCTGGCTATAGTATGATTACTTGAACTATATGTAGAGACATAAGAGTTGATCAAGTTCAAGTATATAGTCAAAATGATATATAGTATAAAGATAAGGCTGAGTACCTTATTCTGGGGACATTATGGATGCAACCCACTTTTGTATATGATATAAACAATGTGATCACTAAAATTGTACATGTGGAGACATGTGAGTGGGGGCGTCCTATGCAATGAGTATTGCATAAGATCGGACCATGAAGAAAATCACTCTCACTTTAGAATGTCGTTTACTGTTGAGACTGATTTTCTTTTCATTCGATGACCTAGGTAACTCGATCTTAATCTTGAGCTAACCATGAACTCCTGTTTATTCGAAATTATCCTTAGATTTGTATGGATGAGAGTGGCTCAAGTTCGCCGACTCAATAGCCTCTCATTTTAGGGGTAAGACTGGGTAAATGGCTGAGGACGTGGGGTGCAAGATGGAATTCACTCCTACCCACTTTTAGGGATAGACGAGAGGTAGTTCCCTTAAGTACTAACTCCAGGTCTTGAACAAGAGGCCCCACCCTCTCATTGGCCTGAGAGAGATTCGGTTTACTAGTTGGACCACAAATCAATTGTTCATTAGAGGATCAGTGTGACATAAGAAACAAGAAGTAACTTCAGGGGTAAAACGGTAAATTGACCCAGCTCTAGTTACGAACAACCTGTGAAGAATCGACTTACTAATCATGGTTATATTAAATGGACAGAAATATATTTATAGTGAGTTGAGTGCAACTACAAGGCAATAGTGGAATATCCTAATAGTTAACGAAGGTTGGTTAACAAGGTTAATGAGTTTAACCAGTTAATCTTGGATCGTTGGAGCCCATGATCTATAGGTTCATTAGGTCCCTCTGCTAGCTCATATCAGACTAAACCATAGAATAGTGTGACGAGTGAGTTCGAAGTGTTTGAATTCAAATTAGGAAGAATGTGCTACATATATACGATATATTTAACCGCATATTTGTTTTATTTACGAATTAAACAAAAAGAGAGAATATGAGATATTTAAATATCTTAATCAAATATGTGTCAGAATTAATTGGGATTGACATTTGAATTAATATTAAATATTAATTAAATAGTTTAATTAATCATTTAATATTACTTTAATTGGAAATTAATAATTCATACGGATTGTTGAATCAAAATGAAGAAAGTCAAAAGGTTGACTTCATTTAATGGAAAAATACATGTTAGAGGAATTTTGAGGTGTCAAAATTTGGTTTAACCAAACTTGCATGGTTGCCAAATAAACCCCACAAATTTGAGTGGAATTTTGAGTGTCAAAATTTGGTGATCTCAAATTTGCATGAACATGAAAATATGACTGAACATGAAAATATGACTCTATAAATAGAGTGATCATAATACATGAAAGGTCTCTTTTTGGTGAAAAACCTTGAGAAAAACCTCTCACAAACACTCTCTTCATATATACAAAATCCCTCCCAAGTTTAGTCACTCACCGGATCCACAATCCCGTTCTAAGGCCGGAGGATAGTGGAGAAGACACTAGTGGTAGTTCGAAACCGGTTCGTGAGGAAAAAGGAATTTGAACTACAAAAGATTAGTATTCAAACTTATTAAGTTTTAATACTTATGAACATGCTAGTTATTTACTATAATTGATGTTCTAAAAGTGCCTAAAATCCAAATTGTTTCCTCATATGTTATATTAACACCATTAGGGAGATGTTTGGCGGGCTCAGGTATGTGTTATATTTGTGGTCATGCAGGTCATTTGGCCAGAACTTGCCCTATAAGGAGCTCGGAAAATCCAAGGGAACCCCTTAGAAGACCAGTCATTTGAGAGCCCACCATACAAACCCGCCCACAGACCAGGGCATATGCAACAACATGTAAAGAGGCGGGAACGTCTAGTACCGTGGTGACAGGTACGCTTTCTATACTAGGACACTTTGTGTTAACATTGTTTGATTCTTGTTCTACCCATTCATTTGTTTCTTTACCATTTGTTAAACAAGCAGGATTCGTAGTAGAACCCTTATTGCATGTATTGTCGGTCAGTACCCCAGCAAGGGTAGACTTAGTTACGAAAAATAAAGTAAAATACGGACAAGTGGTAATGGCTAGACAAACCATCCACGTAGACTTAAAAGTAGTGGATATGACGGATTTTGACGACATACTAGAAATAGACTGGCTAGCCGAAAACTTTGCTAGCATAGACTGCCATAAGAAAGAGGTGATATTCACACCTCCAAACTGACTTACCTTTAATTTTGAAGGGACCTTCACAGGTACCATCCCAAAAATAATATCGATGATGAAAGCGAGACGTTTGGTACAACAAGGGGGTGGGCGTTTCTAGCCTGTAAAGTATACACAAAAGGAAAGGAAAAACCAATAGATACAGTATCCATAGTAAACGAATTCATGGATGTCTTCCCGGAGGACCTCCCGAGAATCCCTCCATCGCGAGAGGTAGACTTTGGAATAGAACTGGAACTAGGAACGGGACCCATCTCTAAGGCCCCGTACCGCATGGCACCAGCAGAACTAAAAGAACTTAAATCACAACTGCAAGTTCTATTAGATAAAGGCTTCATTCGACCTAGCGTGTCCCCTTGGGGTGCGCCAGTGTTGTTGTCAAAAAAGAAAGACGGCTCAATGCATTTATGCATTGATTGTAGGGAATTAAACAAGAGGACGGTAAAGAACAAATACCCGTTACCCCGTATTGAGGACCTATTTGACCAATTGCGAGGGGCGACAATGTTTTCTAAAATAGATCTTCGATCAAGATATCATCAAATTAAGATAAAAAATGAAGACATACCGAAAACAGCTTTTCGAACCAGATATGGCCACTACGAGTTTGTGGTGATGTCTTTTGGTGATGTCTTTTGGTCTCACCAATGCCCCAACGATATTTATGGAATTAATGAACCGAGTATTTAAGGAGTGCTTAGACTCATTTGTGATCGTGTTCATAGATGACATCTTGATATACTCAAAAACGAACCTAGAACACCAAGAGCACCTTCGCAAAGCTTTAACTATCCTAAGGGAGAATAAGTTGTATGTCAAATTCTCCAAGTGCGAATTTTGGCTATGAAAAATTTCGTTTCTGGGGCACGCAGTGTCAAAAGACGGAATTTTCGTAGACCCCAATAAGATAGAAGTTGTCATTTAGTAGAAACCCCCAACAACGGTCACCGAGATACGAAGTTTCTTGGGATTGGCGGGTTACTATCGAAGGTTTGTCTAGGACTTCGCTAGAATAGCTACGCCTCTCACCTAATTGACAAAGAAAGGTGTACCTTTCATTTGGGACGATACTTGTGAGGCCAGCTTTCAAGAGCTAAAACAAAGACTAGTATCCGCCCCAGTGCTCACAGTTCCAGAGAGTTTTGTGGGATACGTGATTTACAGTGATGCATCCAAAAAGGGGTTAGGTTGTGTACTGATGCAACATGCAAGGTTGTTGCTTATGCGTCACGTCAACTAAAAGATTACGAGAAAAACTATCCTACACATGATTTAGAGATGGCAGCGGTGGTGTTCGCGTTAAAATTTGGCGACACTACCTGTATGGCGAAAAGACCCAAATCTATACGGACCATAAAAGCCTAAAATACTTGTTCACACAAAAAGAATTAAACATGAGGCAACGTAGATGGTTAGAGCTGGTAAAAGATTACGACATAGATATCCAGTACCACCCTAGAAAAGCAAACATAATCGCTGATGCACTGAGTCGAAAAGTAGTACACTTGTCGGCCCTCATCACAAGGGAGCCACGAGTGCGAACTGATTTCGAACGAGCTGACATAGCGGTAGTAACTGAAGAAGTGGCAGCCTAAATAGCCCAACTGACAGTGCGTCTCACGCTTAGACAAAGGATCATAAACAGTGGGGATCCAAACCTAAGAAAAATCCTAGACCAATTGAAAGTAGGCCTAGTGAATGGATTTTCTAAGTCAATAGATGACGGATTATTATGTCAAGGACGTTTATGTGTGCCACCCATAAGAGAAATAAAGAATGAAATCCTAACTGAGGCACACAACTCACCCTTCTCGGTACATCCAGGTGGAACAAAGATGTATCAAGACTTGAAACAACACTTCTGGTGGCGAAGTATGAAAAAGGATATCGCGGAATACGTGAGTAAGTGTCTGGTGTGCCAACAAGTAAAAGCCCCTAGGCAGAAAACCGCCGGGCTACTACAACCTCTAAGTATACCGGAATGGAAATGGGAAAACATTGCCATGGATTTCATAGTAGGCCTACCCAAAACATTAAAGGGCTATACGGTAATCTGGGTGGTCGTCGATCGTCTGACAAAGTCAGCTCACTTCCTACCGGGTAAGGCAACATATACAGTAGGCAATTGGGCCCAACTGTATGTGAAAGAAATTATGAGGTTGCATGGAGTACCGGTGTCAATTGTGTCGGATCGGGACCCGCGTTTTACGTCGGCCTTTTTAGCGCGGACTCCAAAAAGCAATGGATACCCGCCTCGACTTTAGCACCGCCTTTCACCCACAAACAGATGGCCAAACGGAACGATTAAACCAAATCTTGGAAGACATGCTTCAGGCATGCATTATGGATTTCACAGGGAGTTGGGACACTAAACTGCACTTAATGAAATTCTCTTACAACAACAGCTTCCAAACAACCATCGGGATGGCACCCTTTGAAGCATTGTATGGAAAACGATGTAGATCTCCATTGTGCTGGGACGAAGTAGGAGTATGAGAACTTGTAGGACTCGAGCTGGTCCGCATCACCAACGAGGCGGTACAGAAAATTAGAGTAAGGATGCGTACCGCACAAAGTAGGCAAAAGAGCTACGCCGACGTTAGGCATAGGAATTTAGAGTTCGAAGAGGGGGACTCAATGTTCCTAAAAATAACTCCTATGAAAGGCATTCTAAGATTCAGACCAAAGGGGAAGCTAAGCCCTCGATTTATTGGACCGTTCAAAATTTTAGAAAGAGTAGGTTCGGTAGTTTACAAACTAGTTTTACCACCTTCAAGCGTACACAATGTATTTCATGTGTCCATGTTAAGGAAATATATAGCACACCCTACGCACGTAATAGACTATAAACCTCTCTAAATCGAGGAAGATTTAAGTTATTAGGAGAAATTGATTAAAATCGAGGAAGCTACGTGGGTTCGAGAGGAGGAATTAAAAGAAAAATATCCTGAGTTGATCCACGAGTTTCAGACTTTCAAGGACGAAAGTTCTTTTTATGGGTAGGTAATGTAACAAATTGGATAAAAAAAAAAAAAAACAAAAAAACAAAAAAGGGTGGTCGGCAGAATCGAAAACTCCGGCGAACGCCGAAGTTTTCACTCGCACATGACCCACAAAGGGCGGCCGAAGGCTGGGATGCCACAGAACTCGACCCCGACCTTCAGCCACCCGGAAACGACCTGCAAAGAACAAAAAATAGAGAAAAACGAAGAGGAACCGAAAAATCTGACGAAACTCCGGCGAGGCCAAACCATACGAAATCGACTTCAAAACCTCCATTTTACACAACAAAAGTAATCCCAGAACCTTTTACACACATCAGGGGTAGATTTAGACGAATCCTATACATTGAACACCGTCGGCAGGGGAGACGGAACGTCGGATTTCCGAACTTCTTCAGATCCGGGAGTGTGAGGCCTTTACAAACCAGATCTATACCAAAAATGGACTTAGGGGGAAGAAGAGACTCAGGAACGGAGGAAAAAGGAGGGAAAAAGGACGTCGAAATGACGTTAACGAGGAGAGAGAAAAGTCATCGGAAAAACGCATAGGCAACCGGGTGAAGAAGACGAGGTCCGACCCGAGGTCCAGATCCCGAAACCCGAACCGAACCCAATCACCTTAGGTCAGCCCAGTACCCGACGATTCCTGCGGCCTAGTCGCTTCAGCCCAAAACGCGTAAGCCCAGTTACGGCCAAACCCGATAGCCTCGACCTGAGACCCGCAAGCCCAGTCCAACGCCGACACGTCCAGCCCAACCCACCTGAATTTATCCTTCAGTCGGGCTGGCCTGTCTCCCGCGAACGGCCCGAGACCCGCGAGCGATCCGATAACCCGCGCCTCGACCCGAGACCCCTACACACGCGTCTCCCTCTGATTGTGACACGTGGCACGTTTGCGGCGCGGCTCCCCTTGACGACGACTTCTCGGCTCCGGCGGCTTATTCGGCTCGGGAAACCTATTTCCAGCCCGTTTGTCACCGTTCCGACCCTCCCGAACTTAGTTTCGGCCCTATTTAAGGTAAAATAGATCATTTTAAGGTCGTATTTCACAAATTCAAGTTGGAAATTAATTATGTTTGTGAAATATTAACGAAAGTGACGAATGAACCAATAGGAACCAATCATCAACGGAAGCATAGAACGTTCACGAGGAGCTAGGAGCTTACATTATATTCTAGGGAGTACTTCGGCTAAGGCATACCAAGTAAGTGACTCACCCGTCGTAGGTTACGCGTTATTTGTTGTATGTTGGCACGTGCCCGTAGATTTGCACGTGTCTTTAAATTGTATGCTAGTTTAATGTTCTTAAGTACGTACTCATGTGAACGTGAATGTATGCTATGTATGCTGCTTAGTTTAATGTGATATGATATGCATGTGACGATATGTGGTTCCTGAATGATTATGGCATGATTGTATGAAATATTTGAATGTAATCAGCATGAATTGTATGACATGAAACATGGTAAACTGTCTGGAATCATAACCCTAATAGGAATATGTATAAAATGTAAATTGAAAATGAGAATGACATGAAGCATGGAACGTGACAGGGGGGTTATATTCATTAATGATAAATGTAGAAGTAGGAGGGGACCTCATGCATTATGTGTGTTCATGCATCTGGGGGGATACCCCTATACCATCACGAGGGTACGGACTCGTACATCCAATGGCAGGACAACAATCGTTATGCTTTGCATAGCGCTGCCGTGACGGTTACTAGTTTTAAGGGGTCCCGGCATAAGGGGCTCCCAGAGTATGCCCATTGGATAAGGAAAGTAGCCCAGAGGTGTGCGAAGTAGCTGGTGAGCCCATAGTCGCACGTATGGGCTGTGTGTAGAGTATATGGTACACGTCCACAATTACTCGTTAGGACAGCACCGTAGGGAAACGAAACCAAACGAAATGAAACGAAAGATAGGTCCCATCATTTCATTGCATGTAATTGTTGCATAACCTTGATAGGGGGTCACTTACCTAGTATTCTAGAAATACTCAAGCCTCGTGCTACTTTACTTTTTCAGATAAGGGCAAGGCACCCATGTGACATCGATGGCAGCATCGTACACCCCGGGACCATGGCACATGCATAGGGTAGTTGTTTTTTTCATTTCATAGTCTAGGTTGAATTCGGTTTGCATCATTAGTATAGGTTAGTATAGGTTGAATTGTATTTGCATAATAAACCTTAGGATAGTATAAGACGTTCATTTCGGTTTTTCTCCTTTTCCTTTATTTCAATAATGTTCTTTTCCTTTCTTTCCCTTGTAATCAACTTCTCTTTCACGAGGTAATAAAAGGTGAGTGTAAGTCGCATTTATGAACAAGGCCCATTTAATGTATATTCCGCATTTCAAGGTATAGTAATGACCTAAGATTAAATAGGTAAAATTTAGGGTCGTTACAATTTATGGTACTAGTCATGAATCTGACAACCTGTGTCAAGGCTTCATATGTTCCAAGCGACACAATTCGAACCTACGTCTATGACTTCATGCGTTTGAAGCAACTTAGTATGAACCCACATCCAGAGCTTCATGAATTCCCTGTGATACAATTTGAAAACCAATGTCCAAGACTTCTTATGTTTCAAACGATGTAATCTGAGTCATGAACACGTTGTACCGTGGAAGGTCTTAGGAGTTTCATGGGTATGAGTTTGAGGACCTTAGTCCCTTATTCTTGAGTGGTACCTAACATTCTGCTTACCTAGGTAGTTGTAGAGCATGTAGTATTTTCTTCGGTTCTCAATCTTAAACATTTTATAATATCTAAGGTTCATAATTTGTGGAAGTATAAGTCATATCATGCATTCTTAAGCTCTACATAATTTAGTAATATGCATGAGCCATTCAAAATGTCATGAAGTCATAATGAGTTCTCTAGACAATTTCTAGAAGAGTTCGAGCGTTGGGTAAGTGTTACTTAGACCCTAAGTTCCAAACTTGTTCTGATCAACTTGAAGTCTTGAATATATCTTTATTTCCTTACAAACCCACCTTAAAAAAAGTAGTAAGACATTTGGAGGGTGTTTAGACCTTGAAATACCTTAAAAGGTCCTAGGGGTGTTTTGGTCATTTTACTCCCTAATTCTTGGTTTAACCTCTAAACGTGTTCCAATAGCTTTCAAATCGAAGTTAGGTTACGTTAAGGGCATTATGGTCATTTTACACACTTAACCTTGTCCAATGAGCACCAAATTCCATATATATTCTTAACATATCATAATATGTTAAGTATTAAAATTTCATGGGCAAACAAACTTCATTTAGTAGGTTATTTTGGTGTTACTTAAATTTCGAGCAAATCAATCGGTTTAAGGCCTTAACTCTTTGTTTTTTATATTTTTTTTAATATTCCCTTAATTCATATATGACTTAGGGTATATATTGAAATCCAAGTGATTTCTTCTATTATTTCTTAAGAAAAGTTCAAGATGGCTACTTACCTCGTCGTTGATGTTCGAGACCTTCGTTCTCAAGCTTTCGGTATCCGAATTACTTCAAATCTTCTTTGACAGAGTCTTTATGGTGTCTAGTTTGTAGAACCATAAATATAATAACCCAAAAATTTTAACTCCACATTTTTTAAAGTTGAGAAGTGGGGGGTTGGCCTCCACCATAAAAGGGAGATCCCTCACTTCATTTTAGCATCACACTTAGACTGTTCAAAACCAGTCAAAGAATACACTTTCTTACAATTCAAGATTGACATTTTGGCTTATTCGGCTTGGGTCTAACACACTTGGAGCCTTTCATCCTAGTTTCAATTATTCGAAAGCATTTAAGATTAGTACGAGTATCTTTTAGCTATTTTAAATTTTTGGAGTCAAGTTTAAAGTATTTATGCATAATTAGGCTTAGCTCGTTTAAACGGTTACGAGTAAGATTAAATTATTTTATGTAAAATTAGGCTTTGCTAGTTAAATTATTAGGAGTAGGTTTAAAGAAGATTAAATTATTTTTTGCAAAATTAGGCTTAGCGGTCAAGAGTAGGTTTAAATAAGATTAAATTATTTTATGCAATATTAAGTTAGATAGTTAAACTATTAGGAGGAGGTTTAAATTATTTTATGCAAAACTAGGTGAGCCAATTCCCACAATGGGATTTTAATTTATGATTTTTAGACTCCTTAGGCAGAATTAAAATTCAAAAAGTAGCGTTAAGCTAACGTCAATGGGTTGTAGTGCTTCGGCCTAGGTCAACTAAGTAAGTGGTCTTACTATAGGTATGGTTAGAACTTAATGTTCTGTGTTGACACGTGCTTCGTGGTATTGCACGTGTCATATATTTGATATGTATGAATTGTGTACGAAATGATATGATTATTATATGATATGGGAATTATATATATATATATTATGATATGTTAAGATATGATAGGTTGAAGGCATGCTCAAGATATGTTATGTGACTGTTATGATATATGATATATGGATGATAAGAATTGTTATGCTTAGAAGCATGGAAATGTTATGATATCACATATGTGTGTAATATGAATCATATGATTTGATTGACATGCAAAACAAGAAACTAGTATGAAATACAACTCCAGCACACGTGTGAAAGATATGATAAATGATATGATAAGCGATATGAGAAATGATATAACAAAATGATATGATATGAAGGAAGACGCTAGTGAGGTTGTATTAAATGATAACAAAAATGGAAGAATATTGGGACCTTATGCATTACGGATACTCCTCTTTCATGACAGTATGTGTTAGCTTTTTGGCCCTTAATTTCAAATTAATTAATTAGATGATATTTTGATGATATCAAACCTACACTTAATTATTAACAATTATAAGTATTTTGAATTTTTCACAATATAAGGTTGGGAATAACGATTTCAAGGCTTTTTTCAATCACTCAAATTAGAGTTAAAACGTACAAGTTTTAGTTCAAAACAAATACCCAACGTGATGATGTGACGGTAAAATTGACATTATGAACCAATAAGAGTATGACATTTAGAACTTTGGAAAAGTAATGAAGTTTTCGATTATTTGAATTATAAAAATATAGGGTTACTCACATTATTTTTATTAATATTTTTTTATTATTATATTATTACATTTTAATATATATATATATATATATATATATAAATGAATTTGAAATGTTTTAATATTTACTTTAAAAAAATAAAGTCTACGTTTTTTAAGGATAAATTAAAAAAAAAAAAAAAAATTAATAGTACAAGTTTCAATTCACTATTTAGTGTTCCACATGAATTCCTATTTTTGCTCCATCTTCTCTATTTAAACTCTCTCTCCATCTTTTTCACAAAGACATACCACTCCCAAAAAAGGAATAGACAAGGATTTAAGGAGGGGTCGAGCTGGGTGGAAGGACACCATTCAGCGGGAAGCCTTGCACTTGAGAACGCCGGAAACCTTTGATCGTGTGTGAACACGAAGAGAGACAGAAGATCGGAGTTTCGTCTAGATCTACCAGGTTCAAGGATGGTAATTGTCGGAAGAATCGAGAAGGGAGACCAGAGGAAAAAAAAAAAAAGGAAAGAATATCACGCTTCCCAATTAAGTGGCACCTCGGAACCTTAGATTTAACTATGCTCATAGTATGCATGAAATTATAGTATAAGAGGTACGTTTTAGAAGTTTGACCATAGAATGAGTTGAGATGACACATGTTGAATGTGATTAGGTATGTTTGCTGAAATTTTACTGAAACGCGTATGCAACTACCTTCTGAATTGAGATTCATGACTAGTTTTTCATGATTAGATTATTAAGTTATGCATCCGTCAAGCATGTTACAGTATTAGCGGTTATCCAGGGATGATTAGGGGTTCGCCAACTAACCCTTAATCATAAACCTGACTCGATTGTTAGGGGTCTGCGTAACCATAGAACTGATCATTTTATTGTTGATGGTATCTTGTGGGGACTTATAGGAAGCTTGCCAGTTAGTTTCTTTTAAGTGAACCTGTCACGAGTAGTACACTTGAGAGTTGGTCGATTCCTAAAATGCATGAACCTTGAGTATCGAGGTCACGCCTCGAGGTCCTTGAGATTTGATGATGAAAGAGAGACTAGTAGAGACAATTAGCAGTGACCTAGAGAACTTAAGAGTATTCCAAGGGCTGGAGGTCCAGATAGGACCATGAACCAAGAGAAAACTAGAATGAGAAAAACCTAGGGTGTAGCCTAGGGGTACCCACACGGGGGAATAAACCCCCATAGAAAATAAGATAACAAACACATGAGCAAATAAGACTTAAAAACCAAATATGAACTATCAACAAGCTGCTTACTGAGTATATCTTATATACTCATTCTTGCTACTTTGTCTTTCTTTCAAACGAGGCATGATGGAGTGGTCGGGGCGGAGGTGCACACGAGGGGGGGGGGGGGGGGG